TCCCTTTGTTGGGCTATATAGCAGTAGCAACCCTTTGAAACCTGATGAGTGTGAGTTAAGTCATTTGTTGGGCCACAGGAATCCCTTGAACCTCCTGCTGTAAGTTCTAATTGGGACAGCAGGGAGCAGAGTCCAATTTGTATTCACAACCATTACAGATCCAAACTCAAAAGTCTATATCCTGCCCAACATGAGAATTTTCCCTCAAATGAGTGATGTTAGTCAGCATCTGGGGTTTAACAGACTACAGCATAGATGCTGAAGAGATCTACTTTGGATGTAAATACAGGAGGAGATAGAAAGGTCTTACAAATGCTTTGAAGCAAGTGACCTCTTCTCCTTTACCTGGCACAACCTCTATGAGCAGAGGAAGTCAGAAAACGTTAGACAAACATTAGGATGGTCTCCACAGAGATGTCCAGGCATGATGCACTGAGCTAGCTGTGGTCCAACACTTCAGCATCAGGTTTGAAAAGGGCACTGAGAAACTTAATGTCTCAAAGCAAAAGGAAAAGAGAACAGGAACACCACAAGCAGATGTCAGCAGAGAAGAGCTTCCATTACCCAGGTGGCTATGGTGGGTCAACTGCTTTAAGGAAATACTCTTCTCCAACTGTACTCATGTTTACAGAGACTCTGAAATTCAGACAAATAATTTGGTCCTCCAGCATCTCCCTGGCTCCCCATGGATAGCTGTACCTATCCAGAGGTGCCCACCAAGCTCTGGGCTAATGGAAGTCCCACCTGGAAGAGCAAAGCTGATACACAGGAAAGTGAAGGGTGAAGTAGCTAGAGCTGTGATTACCTTCCATAGGAATGAGGTTAGAGGCCCCCTTTTTCCCATCTAGACCATGCTGAGAGTACTGTTTCAGAAGGTTCTGAGCCTTACGGATCGTGCCTGTCACCAGAGCCAGAGAGAAGAGACAAGAAGACCTAGAAAATGAGTGAAAGAAAACAAACCCAGAACACCAGCCCTCCACCAGCAAGTCACCTGGGCCCAGAGAGAGGACACCAATGAGCATGCTCAGTACAAGAATGCGAACCCCAAACTCATGTCCAAGTGTGCAAATACAGTGGCATTTCTGGACTGTTTCCCTGCTTTGAGGCTGGGGAATTCCAGCCAGGATTACAGAACCAGGGAGTGCTCGGATCAGTTTGGAGAGGTGATATGGTGGGTGAGGAAACATGACCAGAGAAGAGAAGCAGTGAAGCTCCCTTCCCTGCAGTGGGTTTGTTTGAGTTGGTACTCTGCATCCAAGCACACAAGGTTTTCTGCTTTTCCTCAGCTGCAGGAGCAGAGCTTTGCACATGGACAATTCCTGTCCAGCAACACATTGCCTGCTCCTTGGAGCCACAACTGCAGCCCCTTGGTAAGAGGTGCCTTTCCAAGGGGTATTTTCTGAGCATAATCAATAAAGAGCCACCAGCAGCCCCACAGTCAAGACAAGGAATGGTACAGGAAGCACTAAAAGGGTGACAACCTCTGGGCTCGAGAGAGCAATTCCAGCAGCAATTCCCATCCCAGGAATCACAGAATAATGGCTGCTGCCCACCCATGTCTAACTCACATTAAGCCACCCTAATCCCCAAGACACTTCTCTTCTAAAGAACTGCAAATCAATTAAAACCATGAAAAAAAACAACACTGGGTTAAAAGATTTATATTTAACACACACAAAAACCAGACAGAACTGAACAAAAGGCAGGGCTGGATATACAGCTGGAAAGCACAAAACAAAGCATTAATGTGACAACTGAAGACTAGGCAGTGTTTCCACATTAAAAGGTTAGTTGTCATGCAACAAGCTACAATTACCACAAGCACACGGACACCCTCTCACAGCAGAGCTTTGCTGTTGCCTGCACAACAGGGAGCTGGAAGTTTTGGGAAGGTAGAAGGGGTTTCTATAGGATACCCAAATGAAATAGAATTGGGCTGAGTAAATGATGAAGAAGCCAGCAAATAAAAATGCTGCTGCCAAAATTACGAATTGTTCTTCCGCTACACAGTCATAAATGCTTCAAACATGCAGAAAATCCTACTTGTAGCAGTGACTGTGAGCACAGTGCAGCCTGGAAATGAGTGTTGGCTGCTCAAATGCTGAGGACTGCTATCTTGAGGGGAAGCCCAAGTACACACTGCTGCAGAACAGCGTCCAGAGGTGCAGGACAGCTCCATCCCATAAAGAGATATGGGGAATAACAGGAGAGAGGAGTTCCCACTGAACTACCAAGCTGCCTTAACCTGGTGAACTTATTAAAGAAGAGAACATGGTTCCTAAAGCATCATGTTTCACTGGCAGCATTCTTCTTCTGCCAGTTCAGTGTTCTCATCCACTTAATAAAAAAAAAAAATCATATCCATAAAACACAATCCTTTAGCAGGAAGCTTCTCCCCCTAGACCCACACCTGGGAGGTGGGAAGACTCACACCCTTGCTGGCTTATGCATTTGATCTTAGCTTCTGCCATATGATCCAATAAGCAGGCTATGCCTCCTCCAAGCTTCCCAATGCTCCTCACACCCAACACTTCTACTTCATTCTCAGCAGCTTTCAGAAACCTTAAGAGCTTGAGCACAACAGCAGGTTCCTCTGAGCAAGGAGGGCTGTGGCAAGCTCTGGAGAGATGCACTAAGCTCCTTCTCACTGCTGTTTCCATGGCCCAGCTGATACAGAGCAGTCCAGCCCAGGTACTGTTCTTCTACCAGCTCTTTCATCTTTCCTGCTTTCAAGTAACCAGGGGGAGAGGGAAAAAAAAGGAATAAAAAATGAGGATAAACTGATGCGAAAACCAAGCAGGCAGTACACAGCTGCTGCTGCTGTCAAAAGGATCTCTCTCCACAGGTATGCACTGGGTGTCCCCACAGCTCATCCCAATGGGCTCTTCTATTTTCAATACTTTTACTCTTGTTCTCACTTCCAGGAGCTGCAATTGTGCTGCATTTTACTTCCATAAGCACAATTACCTGTGTTTACTGACACACACCGAGTGTTCATGGGCGTCACTGGTGCTGCTGGATCCTTCTGACTTAGCACTGTAATTAGGCTTTAATGGATTCTAGTGGAAGATAAATGCTGTTGTTCCAGGATTGTTTTCCCCTATTAGGCAGCTCCCTAACCAAATGGGACTGTGTTTCAGCTACTAATGAAAACATCACATTCAAGCTAGGCAGTGACCAGTATAGGAAATGGGAAGCCTGTCCTCAGGTAGCACCTCATTGGAAACAGGAAAAGGGAATCCCTATAGCTTGAAAAGAGCCCCCAAAAGACAAAAACCACCTGGAACCTGTGGCCCAATTGTTAAATAAAGTGGGTTTTCCAACTGCACCTTGTTCTCCTGTTTTTTCCTTCCCTTAGGCAGTTCTCTAACCAAGGAGAAGGGCAAAGCATCCTCTTTTCTCAGTGCCAACTGCAGGAACCTGTATGAAACTAGGCAAAGCTCTCTGGTTTTTGCTTGCAGGCCTTGTCCTTCCCCAAAAATGCAGAGCTGCTGAGTTACCTGCTGTTCTCAAGCCAACAAGAGGGCACAGGGTCTACAGGCATCACAAAGAAGATGGATTTCATGTGCATATGTCTGCAGCAGGACAAGTTGGGAATCTGAATACACCTGCTCTCTGAGACTGACTGCTGACAATTCGAACAGCAAACTGCTAAAAAAGTTGCCCACAAACTGTTTCATCAGTTCAACGTGACAAGTTTCATTTAGGAGGAGACAACTCTGCTCTGGAAGCATCTCCAGCAGTCAGATTTTCAATAGCATGTTGGAACAACAGGAGACAATACAAGGTACACCAACAAACCAAACAAGAACAGGGAGATGAAGACCCTCTGAAACATGTGGATATGGAGCATGTTTTCTACAACACAATGTAGCACGTGGGGGAGAGGAGGAGAACTCTGCCTTGTAACCCTGTCCCTAATACCTCACCTTCCCTTTAGCTGTGGCCTCTCTTGTGCTTTGTTTTGTGGGTTAAAAAAGTTATAGCACATCAGATTTAGTTTGTTATCGATCCCTTGCAACAGGTTAAGGTGTGCATTGGGGTGTGCACTGGGATATTCTTCCTTAAGGACAAAAGAAATCAACTCACTTGCTGGAACCATGAGAAAACACCCTTGTCTGAACCCCAAATTGGCAGAACTTGACTTTAATTACTGAAATAAAGTAATAGAACAGAAAAAAACCTGTCTTTGTCCATAACTGAACAAAGGCCAAGCTCAGGGGAACCAAACACCACCAGCTAATGTTGCTCTGAAGGGCCACTGTGCCAGTGTGAAGAGGGTGTAAGACCTTCCCTCATGAGCTGTCCTTGAAAGCTGATGGAACTACAGAAAAAACACCGAATCTCTGCTCAAAGACTGTTCTCCCCATTTTTAATTTCACTCAAGTACAATTCAGTAGCCATAACAGATGGCTTAACCACCACTGCCCTTCGAGAGCTACAGTCTAGTTCTCTGTCCTTGTTCATAGAAGATTGGAGACAAATTAGCCACTATTTTTTTCCTGAGATTAACAATAACCCAATGGATCCTTTGAAATGCTCTTTCCTTCATACACTGTCTCATTCAGACAGTGCTCTGTGCCTTCTACCTGGTCCTTCTCACAAAATCCAATTAAACTGGGCAAAAAGACACGAAAATCTTCTGGCAAATCTACAGCTGAGACATTCACCATGACAAGTAATTCTAGATGGCCAAAAGCATCCACTTTGGAGGAGTCCTGTTTGTAGGGAACAGATGCTTGTGCTCTCCAACCTGTGGACTCCTTTCTGTACTCTCTATGTGAGCATCAAAAATCTGAAACTCACTAAAAAATACTAGTTTTTTTTCAATCTGCCCATGAAAAAAACAACTCCTCCATCCCTGACTATCTTCCTAGAGCACAGGGGAACTGTCACTATTTGGCAAGTGGCTCAGAAATGCTTGCTGAATTTACAGCAATCAAACCCCAGGAATCTTCTCAGAATCAGGTGATAACTTGGGACTGTCAGCCACATCTGAAGCATCCACACCCTGAATTCCCCATGGCACAACTACAGATCCCACCTGGCATCTTTCCAGGAGAGAACCTCCAAACCACACAGAAAGACTTTTTGTCCCTATTGCAATCATACTTTTGGCCAGGAGTTCAGAAGCTGAACACAAGTGGTTGCCCCTAAGCTTAGGAGCAATTTTAATCACTGTTTTTCTAACACCTGCAGCATAGCTCGTTCTCCTTAGCACAAGGATATTGTCCTCTACAGGTCCCCCAACAATTCTTACGCACATAACTACCTGCCAAACTCCAGACGAAAGGCAAGGGAAACACTCCCTTGTCAGGTGGTTCTCTCCTGACAGGGGAAAATCCTCTGAAATTCAGACTGACTGCATTTACCAACTGCAGCACATCAGCTCTCAGGAACAGCTCCAGGGCACAGCACCAACAGCACAGCTTGATTTTAACAGACCAGAGAAGTGGTGTCTGGATGCCACAGCCTTCCCTCTCCAAACACCCAAATATCCCAGGCACACCCTCTGCTTTAGCAAGAAGAGGCCCAGCAAAGCCTCTCCACACACAGAGGTGAAGAGAGTGAGCACCAGGGCCAGCACACACACACAGAGACGCACATTACCTGGGATGAGGACTGCATTCACATCAGGATTATAAAAATAAACACAACACAATTAAAATGGGTAATTCTTTTTCTTCCCTTTCCCCATCCCATCCATTCCCAGTCCCTACCCACATTTCTTACTATTACACTGAACCCACTAAGAGTATTTGAACACAGGAAAAAAAATAATAGGGAGGGAGAGTACTGGCCAGGGAAGCACACAGAAATATGGACTTTCTGAGTCTGGTCACTCTTATAGAGGAGGCTACAGGGTGCTGGGACACAGCGACAACATCCCTGTGCTACTGTGGGAGGTATGTGCTGGCTTTTGCAGGCACTCCTGGCTGTGCTCCCACTAGATGGCACATTCCAGAGATGGGAAGTCCAGCTCTGCACTTGGTACACGGGAGCGACCCTCACCAGCTGCAGAAAATGCAGCAGAACTCCATTTTGAGGAGCAGAATAACCCACCAGCCACATTCAGCTCTTTCACAGACAGGCCAAGGCAGAGGCTTTAGGAGCCCTTTCAAAATTCAGACAATGTTGGGTCTTGTTTCTGTAGGCACATACCTAGGTCCTGTCTTAAGTCCCGATGAGTTCCTGGTTTCCTAGCACAATCATAATTTATCATTCATGGGTAATGATTAAAGCAATGTGTTTTATCACAGAGTTATCTATTTGCTGTGGCACAGACTATATTCCATATTCCAAGGCTGAGGAAAGGAGTTCTCAGATCAAGTCCTTTTATAGCCCTCTCAGGTCTCTTTTTGCTCATCTCCTTTAAGGCCTTTCCTCTCCCTGTATGCAGGGCCCCTCTCCTCCCTTTACAGCACCCAGAGAACAGACCTGATGGTTTGACACACAGACAGTGTCTGTAATCCCAATGCTGAATCCAGGGCAGAGAAGAGGTGCTGATCTCCAAAATCTCACCCCTGCTCCTGCCCTACAAGCACATTTTAGCCACAGAGGCTGCCTCAGCAGTGTGGGGACCTGCAGATGTGTTTGATGACCCTTCAGGGACTCACCTGGTCTCTTGATGGGCTTTTTGGTGGGGGTGTCCTTCCTTTTGTTCTGAATGGCAGGGGAATATGGCACCCCAGTGGAAGAGCTGTTCTTACGGAAATGGTCCTTCAGCCCCTTGATGGAGCGGTCGAGCTGCACAGAGCGGATTTGGAAGTAAACAGTCATGAAATCTAAGGAGACAAGGTAAAAATAAGGTTATAAGCAAACAGGGGATGCCATATGGTCAAACAAACACCTCCTAAAACACTCTGTGTCCCTAGTGGGACTTACTTCTCCCTCCCCCTGCAGTGCTCATTCCAGCCCTCCCAGCACACACAGCATTAAATCCACCACTACCAAGAGCACATCAGTAGTGGAACTGATGGGAAATACTTGTGCAAGACATTGTCAATTCAAGTGCTCAGTTTCTAGCATGAGAGACTTTACACACTTTGCAGGATTCAGGGCATTTGGGAATTTAATGAGGTGCTCATCATTTGAAAGCAGAACACAAACTGACTGAGGAAATATGCTCTATGTGCTTGAGCTGCCTTTGATCATGGAAAAATTCCTAAGAAGCTTTTAAGGATGCTCATCATACTTGGTAGGCACAATAATCCCCCTCAGGAGTCAGTCATTGAGGTGGGGGGTGAATCTAGGAGCTAGCTGTATGTGCAGGTTTCCTGTACAAGTCCACAAAGCCATTCACTCCCAAAGGAAAAGCTATTAAAGGATAAGGCAGATCTTGATGCTGCAGAACAGGAGAGACATGCACAGACTGAAGAAAGTCTGTCCTGCTTTACCCCAGCCCTTGGTTACATTTAATACAAAGTTCTGTTCATAAATAGTTCCCAAATAGGCCTAAGTGACCAGTGTCTTGCACAGCTATAAAACCTGAGCACTGGAAAGCTGCAGCTCCATCAGAAAGCATTACAGGTGCAAATGCAAGGTATTTCTGCTACAGGACAATCAGCAAGTGTCTGTAAGATAAGATAATTTGTGCTTTATTTACACAGCTTGTTCTCTCATCATATCCTAGGAGATCATTCTGTTCAACTGACCAACCACTGTTTCAGTCTCACTGCAAACACTAAAAAAAAATAAATCAGGATCTTCAGGTGAATGAAAGACTGAACTACTCACCTAAGAGGTGCTACTGAGGCAGTCACTAGTCCTGCCAGGTGCCCACAGCAGTGTGGCTCATGACTGACCACCACAGCAGCATTTGAGCAGCTGCTTCATGGCTGAAGGTGTGAAACCTACAGGCCCAGCTAAGCAGGGCTACACACACAACCCTCACTCCTCACTGTGGGTCACAACCACACGTGGTAAGTAGCTGGAGAGCATTCGCCTGAGACAGAGCTACAAGAGAACAGCACACAGCACCACCAACCTTGATTCCTGCCATTCTCCACCAGCCAGCCAGAGATGCGGATGATATCCTGCAGGACACTCTCTGGGAGGTGCTCCAGAGACATCTCCTCCTGGGTCTCCATGTCATCATCCCCACTGATCAGGTCCAGGATGAGGATGGGTGGCACTGGCTTGGTGTATCGTGTCATCAAGCTGCGGAACTCTGACTCCAGGGACTCCTTGCCCCTCTCAAAGAGGGATTTCTGGCACACAAGAGGACAGAAGCAGCACAAGACTTCTGTAATCACTGACAACTATTTCTCCATAAGAACATATTTTCTGCAGTGTTTCTAACCACTGTCAAGTAGCACACGTTTCAAACTCCAACCACACCTGAATCTGAGAGACTTTTAAAGGGAATTGAATAAAAAAAGGGTTTGGGAGTTACTCAGTGTTCAAGTGGGATTTAAACAGATCTCTCACTCTGCTCAAGCAGTTGAAGGACAGACAAGAACTACTCAGGAGGTTCCAACAACTCCAGCACAGGTGCAAGATCTGCTTTCAGAAGTCCTCTGGCACAATGCAGAGAGGGAAACACACCACAAGCAGAAATGCTGCTGAGTACAGACAAACAGAAGTCAAAGCAACTGTTGCTTCAGCTGTGCCCAAACAATACCTTCAGCAGGCAGCAAACCCACAGCCTCTCACAGCAAGAGGACAAGCAGCAGGGCTGTGTCTGTCCCTCTCTCTCCCATGCCAGGATCCACATCCAGGACCTACCACACGGTTCAACTCTGGGCTGTCTGGATTATTGTCCTGGAAGTATTCCACTGCCTTCTGGATTTTGTCCATGCAATTCAAGTATTCCTCTAACCTCCCAGTGGGGCTAAAAATAAAACAAAAAATAAAAAGCAGTGACTCAAGAAGGCAAAAAAGAAAGTATCAAGAAAGCACCAGGATAAAAATAACAAGGAAAATTTCAATTCCCTTTTCTTCAGCTAGGAGGATATCATGGGATTCCCTTTTGCCTACACTCAGTGCCACAGAAGGGTACCCAATCCATGCAGGAAGTGCAGAAGTACTGGTGATGGAGTAGCACACAACTCACAGTCTTGCCTTCCTCTCCTAGACAGACCCTGATGGGAAGGCAGAGGAAAATGCACATCCCACTCCACAGAAGGGCCATCCTAACCCCCTCCCAGAGACTGAAATCAGGCTCCAGAACAGCTCTGGTTCCTCCTGGATGCAGTGACAATACCAGTGGGTGAGAAGAACCTTTAAGAAAAGGGCAGAGGAAAACAGACAAGCCACCAGTGCTCATGAGATTCCTAAGGCAGCATGTCTGCAAATTCTGCAAGGGACACCAGAGTCTGTGCTGTCTTTGCCCTCTGGGGATGGCTATGGGTCAAGTCAGGCAGCTTTGGTGTGGATTGAGAATGGGGAAA